TCTTTGGCCTATTTTTAGTAAGACTGTTTTCTTATTGTTTACTTTTAAAGTTTTTTTATGTGTTATATAGCAGTCTTTTATCAGGTGTGTTTTATTTTTGAAATCTTCCTAGTTCGTATTTGCTTTCTTCTTCTCTTGATAGTTTTATATTTTTAATTAATGACATCAGTTCTTTTTGTTTTTTTTCCTACTAGATACAGGATCATCTAGGATTTATCCAAGTAGCAGTACCTCAGTTTTTCACTTTATATTTAAGCCTAAGACCCACTTTGAATTAATTTTTGTGAAAGATATGGTCTCTGTTTTGGATTCTTTTTCATGTGCATGTTCAGTTGTTCCAGCACCATTTGATGAAATATGTTTCTACAGTAAATGGCATTCACTTCTTTTTCAAACTTTAGATGAACATATTTATGTGGCTCTACTTTAATGTTCTTTATTCTAAAATTATTTATTTATTTGTGTTTTATGTAGTTTGGTGTTTTGCCTGCATGTACATCTGTGTGAGGGTGTCAGATCCACTGGAACAGGAGTTAAAGACAGTTGTGAGCTGCCATGTTGGTGCTGGGAATTGAACCCACGTTCTCTGGAAGATCATCCAGTGCTCTTAACTGCTGATCCATCTTTCCAGCCCTGCGTTCTCTGTTCTAACTCACTGAAATATTTCTCTGTCCTTTCACCAATAACCTTACCAGGGTTTTAGGACAAATTTTAGGCTTCAGGGAAGATCCCAGTGGACCAGGTTCAGCTACTTATTTGAACATGCTACTTAAATAAATAGAGAAAGAAACTTTAACCAATGGGATTACAGTATATCAAACAAAGCAAAACAATGAAAACAAAACAGACAGATTCATTGACTCCAGGAAACTTTGAGAATTTATAGGAGAGGAAATAAATCAGATAATTTAGTTTGCATAGTTGGCGGATTTGGGGGGCAATGTTACATAGCTGACAGAGTACGTAATATTGTTCAAGATGGTGATCTGATCAACCATTGTCTCAGTTCTGGTTTTAGAAAAGTTTTTTTTTTTTTTTATTACAATCATCACTTGAAGGAAATAATCTGATTTCCAAAAGATGATTGTTTCTGGTCCAGGGTGTTGCCTCTGTTTCATTCATGGAGAAATTTTGGGAACAACCTAATCATGGTGATTAATCTGTTCATTGCTTGAGGATAGTTTTAGCCCTTTGTTATAATGACATTTGTTCATTAGTCCTAACCTTCTTAGAATTCAAGGTACCTAAAGAAGAGTATGACTTAGAGGGAAGAATTTAGAAAGGCACAATAAAGATAGAGAGAGGAAAAATAGAGGTAGAATAGTGACTAAGTTCTCCTTCAGTGTTACACTGTCTTGATGACTATATTAATATAGTAATATATTACTTATAGTAATATTAATATATTACTTATTACTAAGTCATGCAGTCAGATAGTATCAGTTCCTTAACTTTCTTCATCTCTTTTAATAGTGTTAACATTTCTGTATTTTTTGCCTTTCTATGCACATATACCTTATATAGAAACTACTTATATAGACGTAATAGCTTTCTGAATTTTAAAATTTATTTATTTTTACTTTATGTGCCTTGATATACGCATGTGTGTGTAAAGGTATCAGATCTATGGTGAGCTGCCATGTGGGTGCGGGAAATTGAACCCAAAGTCCTATGTATGGACAACCGGTGCTCTTAACTGCTGAGCCATCTCTCCATCCCCAGGTTTTCTGTATTTTAATTAGAATTACACTGTATTTATAAGGAACATGGGAATGGACATTATAATGAATATTGATTTATTCATAAATCAATAAATTTTTATGAGAATGGGATATTTCTCTAGTATTTACTTTAAAGATATTTACTTTTATTTTTTTCTTTTTAAAATTTTTATTTTTCATATTAATTACAGTTTATTCACTTTGTATCCCAGCTATAGCGCCCTTTCTCATTCCCTCCCAATCCCACCCTCCCTCTCTCTTCTCCTCCCATGCTCCTCCCCCAGTCCACTGATAGGGAGGACCTTCCTCCCCTTCCTGACCCTAGTCTATCAGGTCTCATCAGGAGTGGCTGCATTGTTCTCCTATGTGGCCTGGTAAGGCTTTATTTTTAATTATACATATATGTGTGTGTCTGTACATGGGTATGTGCACATGTGAGTGCAAGTGCCTGTGAAGTCCAGAAGAGGTCATTAGATCCCATAGAGCTGGAGCACAGGTAGTTGTTAACTACCCAATGTGAGTGCTGGAAACCAAACTCTGAGAGAGCAATATGTGCTCTTTACCACGGAGCCATCTCTCCAGGGCCCATGTATTTAATTTATTGTATATGGTGTATGTTTGTGTTATGTGTGAATGTGGACTCTAGAAGTCAGTGTTGAATGTTTTCCTCTATTGCCCCCTAGGTTATTTTTAAAACAGGGTCTCTCACTGAACCTGAAGCTCATTGATAAGGTAGACTCTCTGGCCAGTGAGCTCCAGGGATTCTCTTGTCTACATTGTCATCAATGGGGTCACAAATGTGGGCTGCTGTGACAGCTTTTATATGGATGCTGGAGATCCCAACTCAAATCCTAAGGCTTGCAAGTTAAGCACTTTACCAACTGACTATTTCTATATCCCCTCCATTTATTTTATCATTTAACTTATTTCCCCAGAATTTTTACAGTTTTACTCAAATAGATTTTGTGCATATATTGTTAGGTTTACAACTAAGTAATGTATTTCATTTTAGACAGTATTGTTAATTATATTGCAATTTTTACTTCAAATTCTACTATGTTAATTGCTACTGATGGAAACTGATGGGCTTATATTAACTTTATGTACTAAAACCTTATAGTCATTGCCAAGAAACGTTTATTGATTTTTTTTTCAAGATTTCTTTGTTATAATGTCATATGTGAACAGAGACGGGATTTGTGTTGTTTTGTGAGATGAAGTCTTAAGTTGCCTAGACTAACCTCAAACTCACTATGTACCCTGGATTGGCCTTAGACCATTGGTGATTCTCCTGCCTCAGCCTCCTGATGCTGGAATTAGAGAAATGCACCACCATGCCTAGTAATAAAGACAAATTTAATTTCTTCCTTCCTAATCTGTATATTTTTCATTTTCTTCTCATATTGCATTTATTAGTACTTATAGCACAGTGTTAAAAAGCAATGCTGAGAGGGAACATCTTTAAATTTTTCTTGATTTTTATTTTTTTAGGAGGAATGTTTTGAATTTTTTTAATTTTTATTTTATTAATTACAGTTTATTCACTTTGTATCCCAGCTGTAGTCCCCTCCCCTCCCAATCCCACCTTCCTTCTCTCTTCTTCTCCTATGTCCCTCTCCCAGTCCACTGATAGGGGAGGTCCTCCTTCCCTTCCATCTGACCCTAGTCTATCAGGTCTCATCAGGAGTGGCTGCATTGTCTTCCTCTGCGGACTAGTAAGGCTGCTCCCCCCTCAGGTGGAGGTGATCAAAGACGCAGCCCATTTCTTGCCATTAAGTATGGTGTTAGCTATAGATTTCTTTGTAGGTTTTTCTTTCCCTCCCTGTCTCCCTCTCCTTGCCTCCCTCCTCCCTCCCTCTCTTCCTCCCCTCTGCTTCACTACCTTCCTTCCTTATTACTGGAGATTGAACTCAAGGCCTTGAGCATGCTATGCAGGCAGGCACTCCACTACCTAGTTACATCTTCTGCCCTGTAGCTTTCTTTATAAAGTTGAGGAAATTTCTCTTTATTCCTAGTTTACTGAAGGTTACTTTTTTAAAGTTGTGTATGTGTGTGTGCTTGTGTGTGTGTGTTTGGTTATGTGCACATGAGTGCAGGTGCGTATGGGGGTCAGAGGCATTGGATCTCCTTGAAGCTGGAGTTACAGATACTTGTGAGCTACCCTATGTGGGTGCTGGGGACTGAATTCAGGTGCTTGACAGGAGCAAAACATGTTGTTAAGCACTAAACCATCTCTCCAGCCCCACCCCCTTTTATGTCATGAATGGGTATAGTCAAATGCTTTTTTTCCGGATCTGTGGATATGATCATGTGATTTTGTTAGCCTTTTTTCTTTGAGTATTACAAATGGCAGCAAAAAGTGTCATTTGAAAATGCACACAACCCAATTTCATAAAGAGATCAAAGCCCCACAGTATTCCTAGTACTTAATGTGGAATATGGTAATTGATTTACAAATGTTGAATCAAGACTTGCATAACTACTACCAATCCTACTTGATCATCTTATATAGTTCTTTTTAAGCATCATCAAGTCAAATTTGTTAATATATTTTTTAGAATGTTTACATTATATTTGTGAAATATCTTGATCTCTAGTTTCCTTATAATACCTTTGGCTTTGTGTTAAAGTAATTCTAGCCTTATTGAATGAGTTTAGTATTCAATATGTGTATGGATATTTTTTCTTTTAGTTTAACAACTATTCTAAATTTTGTCTCATTTTTAAGTTCATATGACAAGTTTCCAATTCTAGATTAGTTCAGATACTCTGTCTTCTCGTGCCTATACCTGAGTCTCTGATTATTGTTGCGGAAAGATCACAGTCAGAGACTCATGATAGCAGAGCTCAGCTGGGCCCTTAATGGAGCCCGGAGTGCTGCTAAACTTGATTTACTCACTACAATGGATATTTCAAATATTTTCTCCTGAGACCCAAAGGTCTATCTCTACTGTCTCAAAGTTCAGAAAAGATTCTTTTAATAAATTCAGCAAACACTTGTTAATTCCTTCCGGTATCTCCTTCTGATTTATGCAGAGAACAAAAAAACATCAGACAATAGAAATTTCATTAGAATCTGGCCTGATTTTTTCTTCACTTGGGAAGTGGGTTCTGACTTCCAGCTACATTTAATTGCAAGCCTTTTGTATGGAAATTATGTATTATCCTTCCCAGATACTCTGGAGCCCTAGGCATAGGCCCTGGGAGGAGAGGGGCTTGGACTTTAGTTTCGGTGGATATTGTCCTGCAACACTCACCTCAGCAGCCTCTGTCTTTCAGGTGATGTACAAAGCCAGTCCTTAAGACACCGAGATAAGCGGCTCAGTTTAAATCTGGTAGGTTTTGGCTTTTGCATTTCTTTAAGTTTCAATTTGACCAGAAACAACCTGACCTATATGTGATGTTTTCTTTAAGTCTTCTGAGATTCAGCATACTGAAGTATCTGAGAACTCTTTGAGTAAACCTCAAAAATTTGAACTGGTCAGAGGCATTGGATCTCCTTGAAGCTGGAGTTACAGACACTTGTGAGCTACCCTATGTGGGTGCTGAGGACTGAATTCAGGTGCTTTACAAGAGCAAAATGTTGTTAAGCACTAAACCATCTCTCCATCTTTCTGGGAACCACTGGGTTTGCTGTTAGAGCCTTCAGAGACAATAAATTAAACTTTTGCTTACTTGGGGTAGCTGTTAAAGCACTACATAATACTTGAAGCATATATTGTTACTCATTGCTATGACAAAATGTCTGACAGAAGCCACATAAGATAAGGGTTTATTTTGCTTAATGGTTTAAAAGGGAAGACCTGGCAGAGTTCTTGGTGATAATGGCTTGCACTCACCTGGATTTCTTCTTTTCCCCTTTTTATTCAGTTCAGGATTCCAGCCAGAAGGTTGATATGACCTACATCAGAGTGAGACTTTCTTTCTCAGTTAAACTTCTCTAGAAATGCCCTCAAAGATAGGTCTCCAGGGGATCCCAGGTCTAGCCAAGTTAACTATCACAGAGCAAATCATTAACTCAAAACCTTAGTGTCCTAGCATCAGATCTTGAGGAGTTATCACCTATCCTCATGTGAGTCTGAAGCAGAACTTTAACTACATGCTTGTCCAGTTTTTCCAAAGAAATTCAGAGTTCCTTTGGGATAATTTGGAAGTTAAACAATATTGTAGTTGTAGTACCTACTAGTAGCAGTTTTTCATTTATGGTCTATATTTCCTAACCTATACTTGTTCTGTCTTGTAGCCGTGTAAGTTTTCACCGATGTATCCCACAGCTTCACCCAGTGCTGAAGATGGCTATGTGCCCATGAGCCCCAAAGGCACTACTTCTGGTCTTATACCCCACAATAGCCAGGATGACTACATCCCAATGAGCTCAATCATGCTGCCCGAGTTGCCTGCAGACTTGGAGCCACCCCCAGTGAACAGAGATCTCAAGCCCCAGAGAAAATGTAAGACATTTGAGTATGACTGCTGTGTTGGGTAGGAGGGCAATCTCCTTATGATTATTACAAAGAAATAGATGGAGAAGAATTAGGAAGTTGGCTGTGTGAAGGTGTGTCTCTGTATTTTCAATTGTTGATTGCTAAAATATTAGAGAGCTAAGTACTACCTGGATGTTGGCCCACCACCAGTTTTATACTTTATAAATATTTGTCTATCCTCACTTGCCTGTTGGTTGTAATAAATAGCTGACAGCCAATAGCTGGGTAGGAAATGGAAGGCAAAGACAGAGAGACAGAGAGAGACAGTCTCTCTCTGTCTCTCTGAGAAGAAAAGAAGCAAGAAAGATTTGTCAGCAGACATGGAGGTGAACAAATGGACCAGAGTGGAACAGAGAGGTCGAGGTAGCCATGTAGCAGGATGTAGTGCCATACTGCTGGCAGGTCTGAAAGTCCTGCTATAGTTCGGGGTTCTCTTGTGTTCCAAGATTGTTATGATAAAAAGGGTACTGTGGCTCTGCAAATGCAACCTACAAAGCCAAGTTCATTCCAGAGGGCTCATTTTTCCCTACTTCTATAATGAAGTCTCAGAAGTAAGTGATGATAACCATAATGGAAGCTACCAGATATCTAATTTAAATAACTCTTGAATGTATAGAATGTTGGCTGTTGGAAGGCAGCCAGCCATGGTCTTTGAGAAAAATTTCTTAATGTCCTTCATACTCAAGTACAATGATTTTTTTTTTTTTAATCTGTGCATACCGTATGTCAGTAAAGGCAGTGGTAGGGGAGGACTTCAACTATGAAACAAATGATTCCTGTGTACACAGGGTAACTTTTAGTCCCTGTGTATTAACTCTCAGGTAGCCCTTCTGGTAGAAAAAGAGATAAAGGAAAAAGATAGTTCAAAGTGAATTCTTCTTAAAACGTTTTTTAGATTCTCTTATCTTTATGTATGATGGTATTTTGCCTGCATTTATGTCTGTGTACCACATGCATTCAGTGTCCATGGAGGCTAGAAGAGGGTGTCAAATACCCTGAAACTGGAGTTACAGATGTGTGTGGGCTTCATGTAGGTGCTGGGAACAGAATCAGATCCTCTGGAAGAACAGCAAGGGCTCTTAACTACTGAGCCATCTCTCCCTCAAAGTGAATGCTTAGCTTTATTCTTACTTTACCCTCACCTGCCTAGTATGCTATGTGATTACAAGGAAACATTTGGTGCGGGGACTGTGATCCCTGACATACAATATGGTCTGCTTCTGCTTCTCGTTATTCTTTGGAAAAACTACCCCTTCTGGGTGGCATGCCCAAAGATGCTGAGACCTTACTCAGATATACTTCATTCCAGCCACATCTTTTTGGCTCTAAGCCAACCACATGTGTATAGCATTAGCCATGCATGCAGTGGTGTGTTAGGAACTGGGTAGTATACAGGGATGAAAATCAAGGAGGAGCTTTGGTCTGAGGAGTATGATCATTTAGCAAGGCCACCTGGAAGAAACATGAAGCATTAAAAAGTCAGTACTAAATATAACAGACTCTGTCTTGTAGAGTACAGAGGAAATAACTAGCTAGTGTAGTCATAAACATCATCAGACCATTTTAAAGAAAGAGAAAGTATTTGATAGACTTAGAGGTAGAGGCTTGGTAGGTAGGTAAAAGTGGGTATAAGAACAGATGAATTGTGGAATGAATCCTGGAGTTTGTATAGGTGAACAGGTGGTGAAGACTGAAGACAGCTGGTTATTTTCAGGCTACTAGGAGAGACACCCTCTCCAGAGACTTCAGTCATGTGTATCTGTCTCCCTAAGCCCAAGGCCCATGATACCTGAGAAAGTAATTGGGCAACAGGAAAGTCTCTGTCAGCATGTCTTTCTACTTTTGTTATTTAGTGGAGGAAAAAAATATCAAAGTAGCCAGACAAGCCACTGAGGCAAGTATGAAGTACAGAGGATTGAACAAGCCAAAAAGAAACCCTGCCATCTACGATCACAGTCATATATGGTCAAATAATCACAGATATTGTTTCATCATAAACTGTGAGAGGAGTGCATGGATGATAAGCAAACAAAAGCACAAGGCCTGTGATGAGGGGTCCAACACTGCTTGGAGGCCAGAGACCATTGAAGGCAGGGGGCATTGAACTGAGATTTGAAGATGAATAACTGGGCAACATCATGACAAAGAATATTTTAGGTGGGAGGACCATTAGGTGAAGACATGGGGACTACAGCCTTGTGAATATCTTGGTCTCTCAGACATCTATCTACTGTCTGGAATACATTGATCTTCCTGGGGCTACAGCTTTCTGTATATTTGGTTAATACTGTGTTTCCAACACTTGATTTAGGACTGATAGACTGAGCCTCCAATAACTGCATCTTGACTAAATGTATGGTCTCATTTTGTTACCTTTAGCATGCTATAAGGCCTTTTGTTCAATAATAGTCCTTATCCGCAGGGAATCAGGCAATAATAAGATATTGAAATTCTCAGTCATCACCAGTAATTCCCATTAGTACATTTGAATTTTGCATGTAAAGAAAGCGGATTTTGATAGTTTTTTCAATTTTTGAATTCCCTTCTTAAAGCTCCTGAGTACTAATCATACTGAATAGTGTGAACTGTTTTTTGTTTGTTTGTTTGTTTGTTTGTTGTTTTGTTTTTTTAGCTCGGCCACCTCCCTTGGACCTGAGAAACCTTTCCACCATCCGAGAACACACATCTCTAACCAGGACTCACACTGTGCCTTGGTAAGCCTTAGACCTTAAGACTCTTGTGGTTGAAGCTCATTTAATCTTGCTTAAGGGAACCAAAAGAGGAGTTGGTCTTGTTATCAAGAGCCACAAGTGATTTCTAGACCACAAAGGAAGGTGTGTGACTGAGTTTCTCTGGATTCTAAAGCCTGGAAATAGAGCATTTTGGGGAATTTCTTTCTATTCCTGCTACACCTGTTCTCTGCAGAACTCTTTTCTTTGTTGCATGATCCTGATCTGTTTTACTCAGGGTTCTTTGAAGAAACAGAACCCAGAGAATGAATGTGTATATGTTAAAAAGGGATTTGTTAAAATGGCTTACAGTCTGTGATCCAAGTAGTCAAACAATGGCTGTCTCACAATGGGAAGGCAATAAATCCAGTAGTTGTTCAGTCTAAGATATTGGATGTCTCAACAGTCCCAATCTGGTACTAGAGTCTCAGGGAATTCCCAGAGGGATGTTGCCCTTCATTCTACATTGGGATCCCAAGGAAGTAGGTACTAACACCAGTGAAGGAATGCCTCAGGAATAAGATAGATGAACTTGCCAATGAGAGTGAAGGCAAGCAGGCAAAAAGCAAAGTGCTCTTCTTCCACATATTTTTATGTGAACTGCTTTCAGAAGGTGTGGTTCAGATTTAGGGTGGGTCTTTCCACCTCAGATAATATAATAAAGAACGTCTTTCACAGATATGCCCAGCTTTGGGTTTTAGTTGATTCCTGATGTAGTCAAGTTGACAATAAAGATTATCCATGACATACTTCAAGCTTGTTTACATGCTTCAATTCTAGTACCAACAAAGATGAACTCTTTTTCAATCCCAGTACAGATATCCAAGGGAGACAAATTTTAGGATTCTGGCAGATTGGAATCAACTATGACACAGAATGCATTGATAGTACTACTAACTAGACTTCCAGAAGCTCAACTTCATGATTTATATCTGAGAAAAGACCTCTCAGAGAAAGTGCTATAGTTTATAGGCTGGATGGACAAACCTCAACACATCTGTGCCTGGTCATCTTACCTTCTAAAAGCTGCACTTTCAGAATCTGAGGCTGGCCCAGGAGTTTCCTAGCACATGATAAATACGATAGGACATGGTAACTTTTTTGAGATAGGGTCTCTCTATGTAGCCCTGGTTGGCATGGAGCACACTACATAGACTAGGAAGGCCTTGAACTAACAGAAATTTGCATGTCTCTGTGTCCCAACTTCTGGGATTAAAGGTAAAGCATGTACCACCATGCTCATGTGGACATGCTAACTTTGTAAAGCAGAATTCTGCAGAGAGCTTTATTTCCAGGCCAAGCTGCAAAGACATTTATCCTGTCTTCTGTCTTAGGAGGAAGATGGAAATTAATACACTGTCTCTTCTTTTCCTGTCAGATGAATGAGTACACTTTCTTGTGTCTCCTGTGTACTTTGGAAGCAAAAAGACCCCAAGGAAGTGGGGAGGACCTCTGGTTGTTTAGTTGGTTGATTAGATTTTGTTGTGGAGTATTTTTTTTTATTCTGTCAGCCAGCTTTATTATTTTGGATCATTTTTTGTTAATTTTGTTGTTTGTTAAATACAATACATTTGTCTGTGTTACATGGAGGGTTTTGGAAAAAGCAATTGGGAAACATTTTCTCCAGAGTGGGACAGGGCTGCTGGGAAGTGTCTTCTTCAAGAATTGTTTGGACCAAAAGGAAGCTGTGTCTGGAAGGGGAGGGCTCAAACCCCACAGGGCTGTGTCTGTTCCTGGCTGTGTTTCAGAGCAGCTGTAAGACATTGCATTGACCTCATCTGTATTTTTTCGTCTTAGCAATCGAACGAGCTTTCTTTCTCCACAAAGAAATGGTATTAATTCTGCAAGATTTTTTGCCACTCCTTCCAAAGAAGAAGAAAGCTACATCCAAATGGTAATCTTGTGTTTTTTTGTGTGTGTGTTCTTTTTCTTCAAATCTATGATCTTGAGAGTTCATTATGATGAAAGCACATTCCTTAAAAGTCTCTGTGCAGTCATAAAGCACACTTGATTATAAAACCAGGTCACCATTTTTTTTTTTAGATTGGGAGAAAATCATTTTGAAGCTAATTTCCTTTTTTATTTTTCATTTTAATGTGTATTATAAGTGTATACATGGCTACAGTATAAGTATGTATATGTACATATTGGTGCATGTGCATATGTGTATGCAGGTGTGTGTGAAAGCCAAAGGTTGACATCAGGAGTTTTCTACTATTTCTCTTCACCTTATATTTTATTTTGTTTAAGTTAATTTTAGGATTGGCTAGACTGCCTGGCCAGAAAGTTTCAAGGATTCATCTGTCTCTCCTTCCTAGCACGTACCTGAGTTACATATGTATGTAATCGTGCCTAGCTTTTATGTGGGTTCTGGAGATCTGAACTCAGATCCTAACATTTGAATGCAAAGCACTTTATCTACTGAGCCACTTCTCAGCAACCTTGAAGCTAGTTTTCTTTTTGCAGTGTTTAGCATCTTATACCAGTTGAAGTTCACAATATTTCAGGAGAACCCAGGACTGAAGACTACGTTATGGAAAATAGAAATAGTAGTCAATTCTTTTTTCAGAAACTGTGATATTCTTTTTGATTCCAGTGGGTTTGTAATTCTCTAAATGTCCAAAGTCCAGGCTGTGAAAATATATTTATTGGAGGCTTTATTTTGTAAAAAACACCGGCCTCTGAATTCTCTGGACATTCATGTTTTGGAGTCTTTCTGTAGACTTGAGTGGGTAGAGATGTGACAATTTTGTTCTTTGATTAGCCATCTACAGCTAAGAGTACTAGTATCTCCTTCCTTCCTGTTGTCCTCTCTATTCTCTTAATGTGGATTCTATTGAGATCATGGATTTTGAAAATGCTTTTAGCATCTTTAGCAATTATGGAGCACTTTAGCATGAACTGTCTATTCACAACATAGAAACAGGGAGTTCCAGAGAGACCTTCAGTATGAACATTAGATTTTAAAGAGGTCTTAACAGAATGATGTTCAAGGCACTGATAATATGCTCTTGAGAAGATAATCTTAAGTCTTCAATGCATGAGGATACAAAGGCAATTAAAACAATTGTATGCATTATAAAAGAATTCAAAGACTATATTAAAATATAACAAAATAAAAGTCTAAAATGAATTGTCTGTAGGAAAGCAACAGCTGAATGCTTCATTTGCCTTGTTTGATAAAAGTTGTGCTGTAATGTACTTAACCATATGCAGGTGGGAAGTGACTCATCTATAAATCTGCTGTGTTCTTCCCAATATTTTCTACACTTAGTAATGGCCCTTGGGAAACTTCTAGAAGAAAACATTCCTATAACTGATTCTGAACAGCTGTGCTCTGTCTCTGGAGAGCAGAAAAAGGAAGTGAACCTAAAACATTATGGAAGCAAGTGCAAAGTTATTTCAGACACCAACAGTTTGCTTCTGATATTTCAGACAGTAAAACAACACAGTTAAACATTGGTTGCTTGCCTAAGTGTGTACAGGTGGTCAATGAATGTGTATTACCGAACAATATGACACAGCCATTGAACAGCAGGCAACAGTGGTTGATGGTAGGTTTGAGTAAAGTACTATGTGAAAAAGATAAAAGCGTGTCTTACAGCTGTGTTTATCTTCAGTTAACAATATACTCTGAAATAACTTGTTTATATTCTTTACTTTGTGCCACACAGTGGCCCAGTATGATAGTCAGAACTAACATGATTTATTTGATTTTGAAAATAATCAGATGTGTTTTTTTTCCACTAAAGAAAACTTCTCATCTTATTATTAAAAAGTGAGGCTAGATTAGCAGTTAAGATCACTGGCCAGGTTTGATCCAGCACCCACATGGTGGCTCACGGCCATCTGAAACTCCAGTTCCAGAGGATCTGATGCCCTCTTTAGGCTTCTGCTGGTATCAGGCACAGAAGCGGTAGGCAGATACACATGGAGACAAAAATTTCATATACATAATTTTTTTTTTTTAAAGTGAGGCCAGATGCTGAGCCTGATGGCCAACCGATGGGCAGAGTGAATGGAATTTTATGTAAGAAGTGGGAAATAGTAAGAGCTGGAGAGGACAGGAACTCCACAAGGAGAGCAACAGAACAAGATAATTTGAACACAGGGAACTTCCCAGAGACTCATACTCCAACCAAGGGCTATCCGTGGAGATGACCTGGAACCCTGAAAATGCAGCCACTTCTGATGAGAACTGATAGACTAAGATCAGAAAGAAGGAAAGAAGGAGAGGAGGACCTCCCCTATCAGTGGACTTGGGGAGGGGCATGCATGCAGAAAGGGGGGAGGGTGGGACCTGGAGGGGAGGAGGGAGGGGCTTATGGGGGGTACAAAATGAATAAAGTGTAATTAATTTAAAAAATTAATAATGTAGGTTGGAGCCTTGAAAAAAAAAAAGTGAGGCCAGGAGTTGAAATACAGGTTTTGTCTTATTGCTATGCAAATATTTTTTTTATATATCCTACAAATTCTTATGAAATGAAAGTTTAGAAGACTAAACATAATTTTACTGCTATTTCTACACATCGGTTTCTCAAACCTTGTAATGTAAACAGTTTGTAAGACTTTTCTCTTTTAATTGTATCTACTTATGTGTGCATGCATTTGCATGCACTTGTGTGCACATGGCACAGCGCACATGTAGAGGTCAGAGGGCAACTTGTGGGAATAGAATGCTATAATGTTAAAACTCACATTAATTAATTTTCATTATAGTATTATAATACCCTTTTTGGAAAGATTCTCCTGTCACTCAGGCTGGCCTTAACTCTGTACGTATCCCAAGTTGACCCTGAACTTCAAATCATTTTGCCCCCACCTCCCAATACAGACAAGGGCCATCATGCCAGGTTTATTTGGTGCTGGAGAATAAAAGCTCCAGGCCTCATGAGTGCCAGGCAAGCACTGTACTAAGTGAACTATTAATAAACCCCTAGCCAAAAAATGCTTCTTTGAGAAAATCAACAAAGCAGACAAACCCTTAGCCAAACTATCCAAATCAGTAAAATAAAAAATGAAAAGTGGGACCTAACTACAAACACTGAGGAAATCCAAACAATCATTAGGTCATACTACAAAAGCATATATGCCACAAAATTTGAAAATCAAAATGAAATGGACAATTTTCTTGATAGATTCCATCTACCAAAATTAAGTCAAGATCAGGTAGAAAGACTAAATATCCCTATATCCCCCAAGGAAATTGAAGCAGTCATCAAGAGTCTCCCCTCGAAAAAAAGCCTTGGGCCAGATGGTTTCAGCGCACAATACTACCAGACCTTCAAAGAAGTGCTAACTCCAATCCTCCTCAAACTATTCCACGAAATAGAAACAGAGGGAACATTACCAAATTCTTTCTATGAAGCCACAGTTACTTTGATACCTAAACCACACAAAGACCCAACAAAAAAAGAGAACTTCAGACCTATCTCTCTTATGAACATTGATACAAAAATACTCAATAAAATACTGGCAAAGTGAATCCAAGAACATATAAAAGATGTCATCCACCATGACCAAGTAGGCTTCATCCCAGGAATGCAAGAGTAGATCAATATACAGAAATCTATCAATGTAATCCACCATATAAACAAACTGAAGGAGAAAAACCACATGATCATCTCCTTAGATGCCGAATAAGCATTTGACAAAATCCAACATCCATTCATGTTTAAAGTCCTGGAGAGATGAGGAATGCAGAGCACATACCTAAACACAGTAAAGGCAATATACAGCAAGCCTATAGCCAGCATCAAACTCAATGGAGAGAGACTCAAATCAATCCCACTGCAATCAGGGACAAGGCATATTTCCATATCTCTTCAATGTAGTACTTGAAGTAAGTCCTAGCTAGAGCAATAAGACAACTAAGGGAGATGAAGGGGATACAAATTAGAATGGAAGAGGTCAAAGTTTCACTATTCGCAGGTGAAATGATAGTATATATGAACGACCCCAAAAATTCAGCCAGAGAACTCCTTCAGCAAAGTGGCTGGATACAAAATTAACTCAAAAAAAAAAAAAAAATCAGAAGCCCTCCTGTCTACCAAAGACAAAAGGGCCGAGAAAGAAATTAGGGAAACAACACCCTTCACAATAGCCACTAATAACATAAAGTACCTTGGTGTGACTCTAACCAAGCAAGTGAAAGACCTGTTTTAGAAAAACTTCAAGTCTCTGAAGAAAGAAATTGAAGAAGATATCAGAAAATGGAAAGATCTCCCATGCTCATGGATCGGTAGGATTAACATAGTGAAAATAGCGATTCTGCCAAAAGCAATCTACAGAGTCAATGCAATTTCCATCAAAATACCAACACAATTCTTTACAGACCTTGAGAGAAAAATTATCAACTTCATATGGAGAAACAAAAAACTCAGAATTTCCAAAACGATCCTGTACAACAGATCATCTGGAGACATCTCCATCCCTAATCTCAAGCTGTACTACAGAACAATAGTAATACAAACTACATTGCACTGGCACAGAAACAGAATGGTGTATCAATGGAACCGAATAGAAAACCCAGAAATAAATCCACACACCTATGGATACTTGATTTTTGACAAAGAAACCAAAACCATTCAATGGGAAAAAGACAGCATCTTCAACAAATGGTGCTAGTCTAACTGGATGTCTACATGCAGAAAAATGAAAATAGATCCATATTTATCACCCTGCAAAAAAACTTAAGTCCAAGTGGATCAAAGACCTCAACATAAAACCAGACCCACTAAATCGGTTAGAAGAAAAAGTGGGGAAAATCCTAGAACTCATTGGCACAGGAGACAACTTCTTGAACAAAACACCAACAGCACAGGCTCTAAGAGCAACAATCAATAAATGGGACCTCATGAAACTGAAAAGCTTCTGTAAAGCAAAAGATACTGT